TGGGGTGGCGGAGAAACTTCAGCAAGTTCGTTCGCGTTCGGGTGGCTGAGTCTTGATTTTGCGGCAGTCGGTAGCAAAGCTAAATTTTGAGGCCGCTATAAAAAAAATGGGCACCAAATAAAGATACATCATTTTGAGCAGTATTTTTGGCCCCAAATGCCTCAAACAACAATTTTTGGACACGACCCCCGTTTTATATCATCTGTTTGAGTTGCTCTAGTGGCATGATAGCGTATCAATATGAAATGAACGTACCATCTAAAAAGGAAAATGCACCTGCTGAAGATTATCTACAGACTTAGAGCAAATCCAACAGTTCCCTTAAAAATCTTTCTGTAAAATTAGTTTTACAGGATGACCGTAAACTTAGCTGAAGTTGGGAGATTTTTTTGTCAGTTCCCTTAAACTCTTCCCCTAAATATGTTTTTATTTTATTTTCCATTAACCAAAATTAGTAATGGCCTAGGGGCCGCCAGTGAGTGACACGCGTGACGGTCTCCGGTGAGGGGTGGCACGAGGCAGTGCGGTGGCTGCCGGCGTGAGGAGCCGGCACGACATGTCGATGAGTCAGGCTGCGGCGCCTTCTGGTGGGGCAGAGGCGGCGCGTCGAGAAGTTTTAGGAGGTTACTAGCCCGCCAAAACTTTACGAAAAGATCATTACCTGTAGGAAGAAAGGCCAATTTTACAGGATCCTTTGAAGTTATGACCAGTTTACGAAAAATATTGGAGAGGCTTTTTTGCCCCGAAGTTCCCGTAAACAACAGTTATTTTAGATATAGGTAAGCTGTTGAAGATGCTCTTAGACATGTTAAGATGGAGGCTTATAGGAATGAAAATAGGGGAGGGAGGGGGTCCACCCGATGAAATTCAAGCGGGGGGAGGGGGGAGAGTTTAAAGTTTCCGTTAAACATCCATAGCCTGCTCATACTGTCCTTTGATATTTTAGAATCAGCGGATGAGTTGTGATCAGAAGTGAAGTGACATTCGAACAGCCAATGCACTGAAACTGTAGCAAATCACAAAAGACATGCTCGGATGCATATGCCAAAATCAGGTTTTAGTCAGGAAAGCTGAATGATACACGCACCAGGCATTCAAACAGGGAAAACTGAGGCCAAACGTGTCATCTCTACAAAATTGTTACGGTTACACAATATCACTCTCAATCTTCGTCGGTTAAAAAGGAGATGCGGTCCCTGTCCACCCTGTGCTTCCTGCTCTTGAGCTTGGGCAACGCCACCATCCAGGAAGGGACCTCGCAGCCCGAAGATACCAGCACGTTGGCAATGTTCCGCAGGAACGGCTTGTCCTCCTCCGTGAAGAACGTGATCGCCTCCCCCGATCTGCCTGCTCTTCCAGACCGTCCTACATATAACAGGGGAATAGAGTTATTAGAATCTTATTGCAACAACTATATCCAGGGGGGAAAGCTGGATATCTTTCTTACCTATTCTGTGAATGTAGGCAGACGCGGACTCAGGGAAATCATAGTTGATTACACAGTTGACACCTTTGAAATCCATTCCCCGCGCAAGAACCTCCGTTGCTATTAGCACCCAGCTTTTTCCAGCTCTCAAGTTGTCAACAGCATCTTGACGCTAAAGTAAGGAAATACAGAATTCAGTCAGTGAGCCTGATGTCGACATTATTAAACCAGTGAAAACGAAAACTACAGGAACAACTATCAAAATAAGTATCAATAAATTATGCAAAAGTAATACCTGCTCTTCAGTAAGGTCTCCATGGATTACATCAACTCTAATGTCGTCATATACCAGCTCTCTGTAGAGCTCTTTTGCCCTCTCTTTGCTTTGAACAAAGACCAATACCGGTGGATTCAGGGACTACAATTGAAGACAATACAACAACAGTAAGTTTCAAAACACACACCGAGACTCCTTTTTAGTAAGGACAAATGTGCAGTTCAACGTTTTAAATACTTTGCAAGCAGTCAGTTTACGGCTACGAGCAGCACAACATAGGGCTTAGTTTTGCTACTTATATGCGGGCATGCATTAAACTGCAGTCTGCTGGTTTGGCATGACCAAGACAAACCAGTTCTAAAACAACGAAATGCATGGAAACCAGGAGAAAGAACTGCGAGTGAAAGATCAGAACATACTTCTGCAAAGCTTTGGCGAAGAGCTATCAACTTCCCCCTCTCGGTTCCAGCAAAAATCAACTTTTGCTTGATCATCGAGGAAGCTGAATTCCTGCAAGTTGAAAATTACATTAAGAAGATATCCCATGCAAAACAGATCTGCTAGTTCACAAGTAGGATACTCACTTTCGTCCCACAATGATCCGAACAGCATCATGCATTATTGTACGTGCAAGAGCCTCTATTGTTTCAGGCAATGTGGCACTAAACAAAGAACGAATTATTGAAGGGTTTGAGCATGCTTTGACAATTGAATCAATCACTTCAACAAATCCAAGCTCAAAAAGTTTATCAGATTCATCCAACACAAGGTACTCCACCCTGCATGAGGCAGTTATGTGTTATTGCTGAAGTTTGCGCAGATCTGAAAGAAAATGTTTAAGCAAAATGCAAATTCCTGGCTCCTCCATAAACCACGACAATACGAATGACCAAGATGATATGGAAGAGAGGATCAAGGTAGTTGATTTGGATTCTTGTGTTTGATTCCGGAACAAATTCGCTAACAATGATTGTAATGCAGGTTATTCAGTATTTCTTGATAAATGAAAACACTTAACAGCCACAGTTTTTCTGATCAAATTAATTTCTTTTCATTTAGGTACAATTTTACCACTTTGTAATGTAAGTACTATCTGTGCACCCAAGCAGTCATTTAGTGTCAATGAAAATGTTATTAATTGGAACCCCAAGTAACAATTACAATCAAACATAAAAAAGATCACAATGTATCGAGAGTGCTATTAAAAGATTATTATTTATAACAAAATAACCATAATAAGTTAAATAGCTAAACAGAAAAAAAATCATAACATGATCACAGACCTACTTAAGTCAAGATCTCTCTTTCGTATAGCATGGTCCAAACGAAGCGGGGTTGATACAAGGATGTCGCAGTGCATATCCTTGAAATTACCATCTTGTGATAGATCTTTGGTCATTAGTTTGACACCAAACTTCCTCCCTTTTGCCAACTTCTTGCACTCTCTCGTAGTTTGTGCTGCCAATTCCCTTGTTGGGCAAAGAATAACAGCCTTAACGCCTCCTTTAGACCCTGGCTATTAGAACAATATACTCATCATAAAGCATGTCAAGCAAATATAAACAACATTACACAATACCATGAAGATAAATACCTTGATTTTCATAAGCATCGGGAGCAAGAATGCCAGTGTCTTGCCAGAGCCTGTAGGTGCACAAGCAAAGCACTCCCTGCCCTGAAGCAAGTAATGCGAAATGATTACTGTAAATAGCTATATGTTTTCATGCCAAGGGGACTAAGGTTCAAAACAGAGTAAAAGATCACTCACTGAAAGAAGGATAGAAATGGCCTGCCTCTGGATAGGTGTAGGTTCTTGAAACCCAAGCTTTGACAAATTCCCAACCAAATATGAATCACAGTCATACCTAGTGCAGAAGTAAAAGAGGGTCAGCTCAACAGCCTCAAATGATTACTTAAAGGCCTAATGTAGATGTTTGCTATAGTGCTGCATGTCAATAATAAGTACTATGTCTGGACTCCACAATGACAAAAAATGCTAACCTTGAAACCAGTTCTTCAAAGCTCTCCAGTGGTGCTGGAACATTATGTCCCGAAATGTGGATGTCATACCTCTTCCGGAGGATGGCAGCTCTCTAGAAACCAATACAGAAAATAGTAAAAACCAACAGTTAAGCGGTTACAATTTGCAAACAGACCAATCCTAAGTCGAAATCTACCACTATTTTCAATTCAATCAAGACCGTGCTGGAATCATAACAAAACCACTTTGCTCATCATATTTACATATACAAAGGTTTGTGTTGCAAAATAACCTATAATGCTTACTAATTTAGCTCAACACAGTTTGCTTATGGAAATAAATACAGATACTACTGAACCCTGATTGCGAACATTGGTGCATTGCAAAACAGCATTACCTCGATTTCCCTCTCGGCCTCCTTCCGCCGCCTCACGACCGCCGAGTCCTCGTCCTCCCTGACCACCACCTCCACAGACTCCTCCACCGCCTCCTTCGCCTCCGCCCCCTTGAACACGCTGAACCCCTCCACAACATCTGCAGAAGAAAACCCAACGGGACTCAAACCACGAGCACAGCCACTCCAAGCACCAAACAAGCAGGAGCCGAAGCCTCACCGGACGCGGAGGCGGCCCCGTCGGCGCGCTTCTTCTTCTTCTTGCTGATCTTCTTCGCGTTGGCCTTGCTCTTGCGCTTCCGCTTCTTCTCCGGGGCCGGCGGCGCCGCGTCGGGGTCCGCGGGGGCAGCAGGCTGCGCGCCCGTCCGGAACCGCGCGATGTCCCCCGCGAAGCGCTTGCGGTCGAAGCGGGTGCCGGCGAACAGCGCCGACGAGAGGCTCGGCTTCTCCTCCATGGTTTTTTGGGTTTGGATTCGCCGCCGCCGCCGCCGGGGAAACCTCCTCCTCCTCGTCTTAAACCCTAGCACGGCCCCACGACCAGCGAAATGAACCTGGTTTCCTCGCCTGGCCCCACATGTAAGCCACAGAGCTCGGGCTGTTCCCGCGGATCAAAATTCGACGGCTGAGATCTGACCACGAACGCCATCCGGCGCGTCGGTTGCCGTGGGCTCCACGCTGGCGCGCTTATCCGACCGTCTGCCCCACGTCTCAGCAAAGCAGTGAATGTCAGGTGGGACCCACGGACCATGACCATTGCCGTCTGCTTCCACTTCTGGTATCCAGTGCCTTGCCCGCCTCGCCGTAATCCTGCCCTAAAATAAAAAAATCCGTAGCTCCAGCCTCGCCGGAATCCCGCCCGCCGGTCCGCCGTCCATTCCCGCGCGCCGGATCTGCCGCTCGCCGGGCAATTTCCCCGCGCGAGATGTTGGTCCCGTGGGGCGGGGTCGGGTGCTGCCTCAGCGCCGCGGCGCTGTATCTCCTCGGGAGGAGCAGCGGGAGGTGAGGAATTTTTTTTTATATATAGAGAGAGAAATCGTTTCCTGCTTGGCGATTTCTGGGGCGCTGATTGGTGGTGGTTTTGCTGCTGACTCAGGGACGCGGAGGTGCTGCGATCGGTGGCGAGGACAGGCAGCCTGAAGGATTTGGGTGGGTGAGCTAGGGTTTGGTCTGTCACTCTGTTGTAGGCTGTTTGATTGGCTTCAGGAGTAGCAATTACTGCAGCGGTGAATTCATTTGAGCTCTAGTTTTCGGCGAGTGCTGCTGCTCTGAGCTAATCTGATCCTAGCCTCCCATGTCGGTGATTTGGTTTCCAGCTCGTGGTGATATTTTGTGCATCAGTTGGTAAAATGGCACTCCCTCCGATCCAAAAAAAAGTGTCGTTGCTTTAGTTCAAACTTGAACTAAAGCCACGACACTTTTTTTGGGATCAGAGGGAGTACCTGTTTTGGATCATCAGTGGTTTCTTTGGGTTTGTAAGTAGATAAGTACTACCTCTGTTCCTAAATGTAAGAAATTGAAATTGGCAATTTTCAAAATTAAATTGATTACCTGAATTTGTTGGGGGTGCACAACAGTGAAGACAACCCTAATTAGCAAGTATCAGCTAGCAAGGGAACTAGTAATTAATTTTTATCCTTCACCTTGCATGAACTCACTGAGATATACTAACATAGGCATTGGTTCCTAGTGCTTGCTACCTGCCACCGTCCTGGCACCCTCAGCGGATGGCACCCATGGCCCAGCCCACTGTTGCAGCTGCCGTGCGGACGACTGACCAGCCACTGCAAACCACGAACGTGCACTGCGCTTTGGCCCCACATTGCTCGCCCAGCTGCCCTGTCACCTGCTCAGCTTGCTGCCTGCCTGCCTTCCTGCCTGCTGTGACTGCCTGCCTTCCTGCCTGCTGTGACTGCCTCCCTTTGTCCGTTGCTACGTCCGCTGGCCGCCATGGCTCCGTTTTCAGGTTCGGAACAGGCATCAGGTGGGGCTTTTTGAGCGAGAGAAACATGGGAAGCTCCCAATAGATTTTCCGTTGATGGCTTGATCACCTCTGTGGTGCTTGCAAGAAGCAGGACATAGATACATGTAGCAGGTCCTGGGTCTAGCCGGTGCAGCCTGCATTTTTGGACCGAGTGTAGGCTTTTGCTAATTTTCATTGGGCCTCTGAACTACTCTGGATGTTCTTGGCAAATGAGTTGGGTGGTCATGACTCATGAGACCAACATGAATACCTGCTGGTTCCGCCCATGTTTGTCACCACGGCAGCATAATTTGTTCTTCTGCAATCCAAGAGTTCTGGATTTATTTTGTTGGCTTTAAATGAAGTTCAAAAAAGCAGTTGGTGCAATTCCTAGTTTTGACTCTGTGTAGTGCCTATATCGCCTAAGTGCATGCTCAGCATGAATAAGAGCTAGGTGTTCTGCTGATGCACAGCGTATAGGCATGCCTAGTGTGATTAAGCGCTGAGCATACTGCTGTTGCCCAGCGCCTGGGCATGCATAAGCGCACATCTAGGCTTGCATTTTTTAACTATGGCTTTAATATGGTCAAAGTCCAGCATTTACTTCAGATATGGTCAAGAGTTAGACCTTTCTTATCAGCATGCCTTACATGTGATATACTTTCTACGGAGATTGTCATTTGGTATACTTGGTTAAATACGTAAAAAAGAGGATATGTTTTAACATTTCTTTTCTCCCTTGAACAGCTGCTATCTTGGACACTGCAAGTAAAGTCCTGCCACTTGTAGTGGCAGTTTCTGGGCGAGTTAGTTCAGATACACCGCTTATATGCCAGCAAAGTGGTATGCGGGGTGTAATAGTCGAGGAAACGGTAGCTACTGATTTGTTGTTTCTGTTATTAGTAGTTGGGTTTGTTGTTGGTAATTGTGGCACTATGCTAACTTTTTGTTCTTTGTAGGCAGAGCAACACTTCCTGAAGCACAATGATGCTGGATCCTGGATTCAAGATTCTGCTGTGATGCTTTCTGTTAGCAAAGAGGTTCCATGGTACCTGGTAATGTGTTCTAGTTCTTTTTTTCTTGCTCTGTCAATACATGTAGTTTAATTAAGTCTTTTATTATTCCTATTATGTGTCCAAACTTGGAATTATCTAGAAGTTTATTTCTGCAAAGCTTGGGTTATAACCTCCCTCTGTCTACTCTGGAGTCTGGACTACCTTCTCTGTTTGTAGACCAGATTTATAGCAAAGAAGAGCATATGCATCCCTAGCTGCTAAGATAATGCTATAAGTGAGAAAATGTGTTAGAATTAATGGCCAGCACCGTGCGCATGGTTGCTAAGTCTAGTATATATAGCACAAAACTAAGCTTGGCTGGTGATGTTAAATCATCTGTTCTTCACGGATAAAACGAAACTGTAAAATATTAGGTATCAATTAGCACCTATATGCGGTGCTATGTGCTATGGATGGCTCATGGCAAGAGTAACAGTATATTTCAAAAAAAGCATGCACTCAGCACCCACTTTAGCCGTTAAGTCCGCTTAGGCACTGTTAATGTATTGATGATATGCCTATACTTATTTAACAGAAGAAATATGCATAAGCTTAAACCACACGAAGTTGTTATATAAATGTAAACCAAGTGACTGCTCATAAAAGAAAAGATAAATTGTAATTCTAAAATCACTATTTGTTTATTTAGTTTGAAAATATCTTGTGATTTTGTGATACCTTGCAAGTTCAGTTCTTTTCTAACATATAATTCATCGCCAGGATGATGGCACTGGGCGTGTCTATGTCGTTGGCGCTCGTTCTGCGGCAGGGTTAATTTTAACTGTTGCCAGTGAGGTTTTTGAGGAGTCAGGGCGAACCCTTGTACGTGGAACTCTAGATTATTTACAAGGACTGAAGGTTTGTCTAATCACGTTTTGAGCAAGACCAATGCTTATAGGATTGCTATTCATAATTAGCATTAATCATTGTAGATGCTCGGAGTAAAGCGAACTGAAAGGGTTCTTCCAACTGGAACTTCATTGACTGTTGTTGGTGAGGTAATAACCATAGATTTCATTGAGTTTCAAGGTACTGTGAAATTTTGTTGACGTAGCTATATTTTTAGTCCCTTACTTTTGTTCTGCATTTTTATGCTGTATGACCAGGCCATTAAAGATGATGTTGGAACTATTCGGATTCAGCGGCCACACAAAGGACCATTTTATGCATCTCCAAAAAGCATCGATCAACTTATCTTGAATCTCGGGAAATGGGCCAAGTAGGGAGATTATGTACAACATTCTGTGTCTTTGTTTAGGGATCTTGCTGCTAATTGCATGTCTTTGTACAACAGGTTATACCAACTTGCTTCCATGGGCTTTGCAGCTTTTGGTGTATTTCTTCTTGCTAAGCGTGCACTTGATCATTTTCTACAAAGAAAGCGCCAGCGTGAATTTCACAAGAAGTATGGACAAACATCAATTTCTTCTATTTAGAATAACAAAGGGGGGAGGTTCTTTGGAAAGCAATTTCGTTCCTTTTCTGTTCAAGTGTTCAGGGGGTTCATTCATCTGTGCTTGACATCATTAGAACTATGTCCCTTTTTATCTTGGTCACCAAGTAGTATTTTAATGTCTTGCAAAAACTGCATTGTCCACCTGCAGCTAATATATTTAACTTAAGATCACATGCAGTTGAAAAAAAATGCACTGAAGACACTGTATGTGAAATGTTTTACTCGTGGAACTATTTTCATTTTTAGTCAATACCACAAATTAGCAATCATGCATGGGACTGAATACCAAGATACTTTGGAAGCACCAAACATTTTCTTAATTTGGAATTTCGGAACATTGGTGTTATGTAAACTTACGTATTCATTTTGTACATACAGGGCTCGTGCTGCTGCAGCACAAAGGCAGGCTAGGGACGCTGAAGGTGATTTTCTTATAGATTGATTTGTCTGTCTTGTAAATACTAGTTCCTGTCTTATGATATCTTTTACTATTATTATTATATGAAGGGGGCAATGGCACATCAGACGGAGAGCCTAAGAAGGATCAATTGGTATTAGAAATATGTGTCATATGCCTTGAACAGGAATACAATGCAGTTTTTGTGCCGTAAGTACCTTATTTTACACTCACATTTCATCATATAATTTTTACATGTTAATAATGAAGCTGTTTTTCTTTTGACATTTTCATTGTGGATAATCCTGAGCATATGTAGTAAACATTTGTACTGTTTACTGTTTCATTTTGGTCAAGAACTGGACCTCGACCAGTTGGCTAGAGGCACCTGGGTGTGAGTGCAGCCTGCTATCCTCGTTTGAGCTTCTGTGCTCCACACAGGGCGCCTCATGGTTGTCTGCCCCTATTTAAAAAGACAGGGATTGCATGTGGGTCTATTTTTTGGTGGAATGTTTTTTTGTGTGTGTTTAACACCTTGCATTTAACTTGCCTACCACTAAATGATTAAGCAAGTTAGTAAACATGATATTAAGTTATGCATTTCAATTTTAGCTGGAATCAAATATTTGAACCATGGGTTGTTTTGCCTTTGAAATTCCAGACTTCATTTACATTTTTTAGCTATGTTCATTATGAAGATGTTTTTCTCCTGAAACACCTCCAGCTATGCTTGTTGATAAGCATCTTTCCCTGCTACCTATGCTCCACCAAAATGTTCATGAGTGAGTCATAAACGACCATTATGCAGGTGTGGCCACATGTGCTGCTGTATGAACTGCTCTTCTCACGTAACAAACTGTCCACTCTGCCGACGAAGAATTGACCAAGCTGTCAGAACATTCCGTCACTGATGGCACTAGATGATGCAAAATCCCGCGCCTGATAACACCAGGTGAACCACATCTTTCAATACCACCTGATACTTACAGTTCCGGTCGCCGTGGCTGCCAGTGTGCCGGTATCTGGAACGCGGAACTGAGCTAGAGCTTGTGAACTGGAGTTTTGCTTTACTGACAAAACTTCAGCAATGGAGGCTCATAGTTCGCGGTCGACGCTGCGCCAGTTGCTGATCTTCCTTGTACTTTACAGTTGTGTACAGAGTGTTCTTGTGTAGCGCCTTGTTTCTAACAGCGCTCTGATTGACAACATGGATGCTAGTAGTATTTACTGGTGGATCAAGTGATTCTATCCAACGGAAATGCTATGTTGTTTGACATTGTAAAGGATAATCATTTCTTCTGATATATATCGGACACCGCCTCCTGATGTTCTTGTGTGCTCACTGCTCGTTTGATTTTGTCTAGCCACATAAGAAGAAAATACGTAAAATGTCGGTGCTTTCTCAAGCTTGCTTTCTTGTATGCATAAACTCGGTGCTGTTATCAACGGTCAAGATTCTCGACACCAGGTTTTTTTTTTTTTGAGAAGGATTAGGGCAAATCCAACGGTTCCTCTCAAGTGATCTCTCCTGTATCGCATATGGAGACGCTTGCAAAAGGATTTTCCCTTGAATTTTCTTCAACTCCAGCAGCTCTCCAACATTTTTCCATGGTTAAAATCGAATTAGATTAGAATACAAAAAAAATCGAATTAGATTAAGAGTTCGCTATGGCTACAGGCTTACATGCTTAAATGCTTTGGTGCATCAGGGATTGGGATTACCACCATTGCCAAACAACCTCACGGGGAATCCTAATCCAAAGCCCATACCCTCACACACCGCGTGGCGACCGACGTGGGTGGATGAGGTACATCGGGAATAGCCGATCTGTAGAGTGAAGTCTCCCAGTCCCAGCTGCGCGTGTAACCCTAGTCCGGTACTCCTCCCCCCTCCCCTGCCCCGGATTCCCAATCCCAGTCCCATCTTCCCCGCCGCCCCGCCACCGCCTGCTCCGCCGCTCCCGAGGTATCACCCCCGCCCCCTCCCTCACTCCCCAGACAGACGACGGCGTCTGAAACACCCTCACTTTCTTCCGCCGCCGATGCGTACCGATCTCTTCCGTGTCCTGCCTCAGATTACCTCTCCGGTCTCCGCTCGCGCCTTAGAGCTCGCCGTCGCATCGCATTGCGGCGGCGCGAGACCCATCCTCCACCTACGGGTCTGCATCCACTTCATAGCAGTCACTGATTATTATTTTTCCCCTTTGAAGCACGCTGCGCTCTGCTGCATGAATAGTGATCCGCGCTTGCTCCGATAAGTTCATGACTCTGCTGCACATCAATCAATCAGAATCAATCAATCAAATTAAGTTTGTCGTATTTTATACTATGTTGTAGTGATGGATCAGAGCGAGGGCTCCGCCAAGGTTGTGCGGGGCAGAGGCAGGAACAAGAGGAAGTGGACAATGGACGAGGACGAGGAGCTGGTCAGGGCCCTCTGCGAGGTGTCCACCGACGCCAGGTTCAGGGCCGAAGGAGGGGGCTTCAAGAACTGCTACACCCAGGGGATAGAGAGCCTGCTCGCGCAGCGGCTGCCCGGCCGCGGCATCAAGGCCAGCCCGCACGTCGACTCCCGGCTCAAGGTGCTCAAGCGCAAGTTCCACGCGATCAAGGAGATGCTCGCGTCGCCGGGGTTCTCCTGGGACGGCTCCAGGAAGGTCGTCCGGTGCGAGAAGCAGCGATACGATGAGTACTGCAAAGTGAGCCATGTTTTAGTTAGTGAAGTTGGCATTGCAATAAGCCTTTCTTTGTGATGTGCCTTTGTAGTTTGTACTGACTTGTTTCGTCTCTGCAGGATAATCCTAGAGCTAGGGGGATGTATGGTGTTCCATTTCCGCATTTCGATGTGTTTGATGCGGTGTATGGCAAGGATAGAGCCGCTAGAGAAGTGGTGGAAGTGTCCGAGGAGGCGACCGCCGACATGGAGAATGGGAATACGAGTGAGGCCGGAGATGATGAAGGGGAGGAAGATGGGGTGTCCGATGGACCGTCCGGCCGACCCTTGGACGCTACGTCGAGCTATGAGAAACGGAAGAATTGTAAGTATGGCGGTAAGAGGAAGAGGGCTGAATCGAATTGCCTGTCTTCGGACACGTTGAAGGATGTGCGTGGTCACTATCAGCGCGCCAGCCAGCATGTCGACACGATGGCGGAAGCGATGGAGCTGTTCAAGGATGTACATCGTCACTTTCAGAGCGTTGTTCAGCATGTCGGCGCAATGGCAGCGGCAATGGAGGCGTTCAAGGGCGCATATGATCAATTCCAGAGCGTTGTTCAGAATGCGAGCACCGCCACAACAGCCTTGGAGCAGTTCAAGGATGCACATGATCAGTTTCGAAGTATCACCCAGAATGGCAGCGCGACTGAAGCAGCTATTGAGCCTCATGCTGATCTGCGAGAAAGGTTGTCGCCTGAGGTGCCCCAACAGGATGCCAGAGTAAGGGCCATTGCCGAGATGCAAAAGCTTGGGTTTACCGGGAGCGAGGTGGTCAGCGCTGCAAGTGTTTTCGCAAAGGAACCCGACCAGATGGGCATGTTTTTGGCACTCCCTGAAATCTACAGGAGGGAGTACATACTCAAGATGCTCAATGGTATGTTGACTGATCCTCAAATCCTGTATGAACGCATCGTGCTTCATTGCAATAATAGTTTCAGGCTTGGTTATTCTGAATGTCCGTGTCCAACATTGGCATTTTGGATACAACAAAGTAGAACCTGTAGCCTACATTCCTATCAATTAGACAATTAGTATATCGATTTTGAACATAGATGGGCTATTCGCTTTTGTTCTAGACTTGCATATTTATTCATGTTTGTCTATGAACATTGCTTGCACTCCCTCCGTCCCACAGTATAAGATATTAGCTTGAAAAATGATCTTATATTGTGGACGGAGGGAGTAGTATTTAAGGACAATTATCAATCTCCATACAAGCTCATGCTTGCAACTGCTGAACAACTAGCATAACCAACATTTGTGGAGTGCTAGTTTCTACTATGAGGGGGTATCTGTGTATGTGTTAGAAGTCAAGAACACACTCTTTGTCTAGCTTGTTCTTAGGTGTAGATAGCAACGCCACCCGCTTGCACGAATTTAGAAGGCCATCTGATTTATTTTTATTTTTTGAGGGATAAAATGCCATCTGATAACAGATAAAATGCCCCGTATCTGTTGGAAGTCATGACTCTCATTCTGTGCATAGGGTTTGTCCTCGTTTGTTTATATTTTCTGTCATCTTGTTCAGACTTGAGGGAATCAAATGATCTGGAATGTTTTTCCTTGTCCGGTGAATCTGATTCTTGTCTCATCCCCTTTTTCAGGTGTGCAATCTCGCCATTTTTAGCTTAAGGCGGCATGGGAGGAGTGAAGCTCTAGAAGCTCTAATTCAGTCTAGTTGCAGGAATGGCAATTGAAATTTTGGGAGTAGCACATGTGTAAATTGTTACTCCCTCCGTTCCAAATTACTCGTCATAGTTTTAGTTCACGACGAGTAATTTGGAACGGAGGGAGTATATATCTAGCGTCTATCTTAAGTGTTCTAATAGGCTATCCTGTTAACTGAGTAGCCTTGGCATTCCTTTCCTTGCACCGGGCTCAGTGGAAGATGGTACGGCCTGAGGCCCTGGGTAATGGGCAACCTGTCCGATTCCAACAGCATTCCAATCCATTCTGAGTCTTTGATTCCCTGAGCAAAACAACAGCCACCCAAAACTGTAGCTCATCAGACGCGTAGCAAGGAAATTACTCTCTCTCTCTCTCTCTCTCTCTCTCTCTCCAAAAAAACTGTTCAGTGTCCTGATGTTTTTCCTGATGATCAGTGGCATGAGCTAATTATGTTACTTTGTCACGAAAATACACACAATCCCACTAGATAACAAAGCCTTACAATATATAAGCTCGATGACCACAGATTAGTCGATATATTTTGAGTTTCAACCTCAAACTGTGTAGAACTTGCTGCATCCATACAAACGAACTGGTGAATTCGCAGACAAAGAAATATGCCATGAATGCGCACATGACGTGCACAGAGGAAGCACCAGTTGAAAAGGAAACATAGAGCATAAACAACGCAATTAACTGAAAGGATAATGATGCCGATGTTATAGAATCATCATTGCCAGTTTAGCATCAATTTGCTGACATCAAATATCCACAAATACCGACAAAAGAGAACTGGAAATGGACTCGAGTCTTTCTCTGACAATATTATTTGCATACGAAGATGACATCATAGCTTGGGCAGTATCGCTTCCATGCCGCTTACTGAGATACTAGCAAAAGCCACAGAAATTCACTCCTTTTTCCCGATCCCGTTAGACATGTTGTAGATCCCACGACCCTGTTTGTTAGCCACGAGACATGTCAATGACTGAGTAGACGCGATATCAAAGAGCACAAGTAACCAAGGCATCAGATGAGATTTTGAACTTACAATCATGAACAAGCTGGCGCCAGCAAGCGCAAGGGGAATGGCAACAGAGGTGACCACATCGTAACGGCCTTTAAGGTGGATATGCTTGCTCAGCTTCTGGAAATACTGCTGCTTCTGAACGAGCTTCTCGCGTGGGTAAAATGGTGCTTCTTCTAGCGTCATCCTGCATACAAAAACTACTCTTTCAATCCTAACCCTTAGATGGAAGAGCAATTGCCATAGATAGTTCTAGTATAATCATTGCATTACAGCTGTGAACATCTCAAGATTCAGCAACAACGAACTTTGAATACATGAAGCTGTTTTTAACTCCTATGCAGGTTTCTAACAGTTAATCAGCTACTCTCACAAGCAACTACCGAAATGGGGAATGATTACTTAATGTACAATCCACTACGTTACTTCATCTAATAGGCATTTTTTAACCCAAAGGATTCTTTCTGAGCAACTCAATGTATTTGAATTTAGCACATTAACACAACACTTCCATGATCAGCAAATTCAAAGTGTTGTATATCTTCTACCAGTAACATGGAAATTTCTAGGCTATCATTGATCATGACCAGAACCACCCACATACCATTGAATCAGGAACCCAAAAAAATTCATGTGCGCTCACCAAGTTACAGCAGATCTAATAATGAACCAAAGAGATTTCGATGAGCACGCACAACATTACTAACCTAGCAACAACATAATGCTTCCAAAGAAAGGCATTTCAAACAGATTACCCAATCTCAACCTAGGCTAAACAAACGCCAGTAGAGCACATCGGACCGAGACCGAGGCCCGAGGAGACAACCACCGACCCTAAAGCGCAAGAGCATATGCATCGAAATGTCCGCGCCGCCAGGCGAATCTCCCGGACCAGTAAAACGCATCGAGGGGGTCAGCGGCGCGTCGCGGACCAGCGACTAGATCCACCACGCATACGCAGGGATTGACGAAACCGCACGGACGCACACGACGGCTCGTTCGCCTCGCATCGCATCGAGGAAGCGGGGCCTCTCGTCCCCTCGTGCTGGGTTACGAGAGATCGTGGGGAGATCGGGGTAGGAGGGGAGAAGGGAGATCGCCGCGTACCTGGCTGGCTGGGGCGCGCGGGGGGCGGGAAGCGACGGGGTGGCCGGCGGCGGCGGGTGGATCTGGAGGCTGGGGATTGGGGGTAGCGTTGTGACCTGGAAGGGACGAGGAAGGGAGGGGAAGAAGGGGTCGAGCGGGTGCCGTGGGGTTGTTGGGTCAGTTGGGCCTCTTCGTCGGCCCATCAAAGACCTGGGAATTTATGGTGGGTCGTAAAGAATGCAGGGAATTTTTGTTTTCTTTTGTTTCCTTTTTCAAGAGAAAGATATTAAAAAAAATTCAATGCTTAACCTTGGGGATTACAATCGTTTTGGTACAGAAAATCAATCTCATGGGGGCCTGCTCTCAGCCACACATCAATTCACATGTTATGGTGACCTAATTGAGCAAGACAATGGGTAACATTGTTACCGGCAATGACGCGCTATACCAATGTAATAGTTGTCTATCTGGTTGAAGAAGACTCTTTATCTCACCAATGATGGAGGCATTCGGGGATAGATCCACGTCTAACTTCTTGATCATATTAGCAGCCACCTCAGAGTCGATTTCGACAATGAATGGTTTCGTGCTCCAGTCGTAGTCTAAGGCAATACATGCATCTAGCTCTACCTCTAGCAGGCTATTTGCAAGTGTGCAAGTGATGGCATGACATAAAGGTGACCGATCCTTCTTATTCTCGGAGATCAAGCCAGCAACCCCTTCCTGCTCGCATCTGCGTCATAGGCCCCATCAACATTCAACTTGTTCCAGTCTGCGGGCGAATTGCCCCAATGGTACAGTGGCCTACCAATGGTTTGAGCCATGCCCTACTACTGCTTATTCTTGTTTCTTGCCCCAATATGCCTAGTGGGTTCTGTTGTATGCACAAAAGGGACCCGATGTCCCTGCATAAAAATTGGTTGGAGGCTTCCACCGGCGGCGGTTGCTTGTGATGGACGGTCTCATTTCTCACATGTTGTATCCTCCAAAGCGTCATCGGCAATGGAAGGCAGTCTTGCTCATCGCAGTTGGCTATCTGGTGGACCAACCAAACCGCCCCAATGTCGATAACGTCTTTGACATTTGTCATATGAAATTATTGTTGGAAATATGCCCTAGAGGCAATAATAAAAGCATTATTATTATATTTCCTTGTTCATGATAATTGTCTTTATTCATGCTATAATTGTGTTATCCGGAAATCGTAATACATGTGTGAATAACAGACACCAACATGTCCCTAGTGAGCCTCTAGTTGACTAGCTCGTTGATCAACAGATAGTCATGGTTTCCTGACTATGGACACTAGATGTCATTGATAACGAGATCACATCATTGGGAGAATGATGTGATGGACAAGACCCAATCCTAAACATAGTACAAGATCGTATAGTTCGTTTGCTAGAGTTTTCCAATGTCAAGTATCTTTTCCTTAGACCATGAGATCGTGTAACTCCCGATACCGTAGGAGTGCTTTGGGTATGCCAAACGTCACAACGTAACTGGGTGACTATAAAGGTAGACTACGGGTATCTCCGAAAGTGTCTGTTGGGTGACATGGATCAAGACTGGGATTTGTCACTCCGTATGACGGAGAGGTATCACTGGGCCCACTCGGTAATGCATCATCATAATGAGCTCAGAGTGACCAAGTGTCTGGTCACGGGATCATGCATTACGGTACGAGTAAAGTGACTTGCCGGTAACGAGATTGAACGAGGTATTGGGATACCGACGATCGAATCTCGGGCAAGTAACATATCGATAGACAAAGGGAATAGCGTACGGGATTGATTAAATCCTCGACATCGTGGTTCATCCGATGAGATCATCGTGGAGCATGTGGGAGCCAACATGGGTATCCAGATCCCGCTGTTGGTTATTGACCGGAGAGTCGTCTCGGTCATGTCTGCTTGTCTCCCGAACCCGTAGGGTCTACACACTTAAGGTTCGGTGACGCTAGGGTTATGAAGATATGTATATGCAGAAACCCGAATGTTGTTCGGAGTCCCGGATGAGATCCCGGACGTCACGAGGAGTTCCAGAATGGTCCGGAGGTAAAGAATTATATATAGGAAGTGCTATTTCGGGCATCGGGACAAGTTTCGGGGTTATCGGTATTGTACCGGGACCACCGGAAGGGTCTCGGGGGTCCACCGGGTGGGGCCACCTATCCCGGGGGGCCACATGGGCTGCAGGGAGTGCGCCTTGGCCTAGATGGGCCAAGAGCACCAGCCCCTATAGGCCCATG